CCTGCTGAAATTCAAATCAAAGGCTGACTGTTCTCAGGTAAGGTGCAGATCTCCAGCAAGGCTTCAATGAGTAGCTTATCTGTGGGTGTGCTTTCGCTGAAAAAATGAGCAACTAAGTCACTATAGCACTTATATTATTGCTCGTTTTGCCCTGTAAGGGTCTTGAATTACAACTTTGATATGGCAGCTCTCCCTATGGAACTTATATTTTATTATACCTTTTTTTTCTCCCTCAGGTGATTCACCGCTGGGTGCCTTGCAGCAGAGATCCAAGTAGTCGGTCCCATATAGATAAAACCATTCTGCTGGTTCAAATTGAAGATAAATATGTTGCTGTTGTTGAAACTGGAGTCCTTGAACTTGGGGCTGAAGTGTAAATCTCTTTCAGCTGAAACTTCCCCTTCTCCAGCTGTTCAGAAGAGAGAAGGGTCCAGAAGAAGCAGCTCCCAGGACATGAAACTTTGGTCCAGTTGTAGGAAAGGACTTGAAACACAGATTTGTCTAATTCCTTTTCCCCAAATAAACAAGTGTAAGAAATTTTTTTAAGTGGTTAGCTGCTGAAGAAACATTTGCATGAAGGATAGATTTGTTGAGACATATCTTTTTGTTTATAAATTTTGTTTATGCATTGCGTAATGCTTTAAATCAACAAACTTTTCAGTTCTAAGATCAGAGCACCTCATATTTTTCTAATTGTTTTGCCAAAAATTGCCATGTCTTGTCACAGAGTGCGTGGAATTCATCCACCTTATTTTAAAGAAATTGACTACAAACCTTCAGTTTGGTGAAACAGTGTAAGGGTTTCAGGTGTGGCAAGAAAAGACTGAACAGATGTATAGATTCTTATTCCTTATGAGCTAAACATTAATGAGAACTGCACTAATTTTTTTACAGCAATGCACTAAAAACAACCCTGAGATTGCTGAGAACATTTATTTATATATATAAATATAAGTATATAAAATACCGTTATTTAAATTGCCTTTGGGATTAATCCCCTCCCTCTCCATATACATGTTGATGGTAAGGGCTGTGCCATGGGTTTGGTTCTATGTTCTGTATTTCGTACAAGTGCATTTGCTGCATCCTCTTCACAATAAATGGTAAAACAACAAATATGTAGAAAAGCACCTGAGTATCCCTGTACTACATCAGACTCTATTGTGGTGGCAGTGGTACCTCAAATCTGTACAAACGTCTAGCTTTAAAGTGGACCCCAATATACTACCTTTCATCCGTCCTCCCTTTGCTAGCCACGGCTACTTTGCTTCTTTACACCCAGAGCTGGCTATGGTGTTTCATTGGCTCTTCTCTGGCAGAGACAGTTGTTTGAGTTTTGTAGGGGGAGGTGCATGTCCATGATTACTTCATGAATGCTTGAGGGTTTTTTGATTCCATCCAATTTAAAAAGAAAAAACAGCAACAACAAACCCCCCCAAAACAAAACAAGCAAACAAAAAAACTTGACTTCAGCTTTTAAAGAGCTTTTATAGAAGGCACAGCCCTAAACTTGTATCACTTTTACCACCTTGCCTTTTCTTTCCCTTTAGTCTTCATTCTTTTCTATGACTTGAATTTTATTTTCTGTGATGATATATTCTATGTAAGTGTAATTTGAGTATTTATAACTGTGAAGTTGAATTATTCATGTGTTACATATCCTAGGTTTTATTGTATTTTTTTAAAAGCGTGTATTCAGGGAAACAAGTAACTCAGAACTATCATGGGAGTGTGAGAGGGAAACTGGTTTGTTCTTGACTTGCAGTTCCTATGACTCACTTCTCTTAATCCGTAAGAAAAAACTGTACCTGTTGTGATTGTTTCCTGTTTCTGACCTGTAATTATGTAGGACTCTGTGGGGAAACTGCACACAGTCCTAGCTTTTGGGAGCAGCCATCTTCTTCCCAGTCACCTCCGCTTCTTTATACATAACATAAGCAGAAGAGACTTCTGATACACCACAGAGGTTGTCGTAATTATTTCTCTGACATCAGAGAAACCTTGTCCATTATGTACCTAATGTAAGAGTGAAATTATATGGGATGAGAAAAAAAACAAAGGAAGAAACACCTACCTAAGAAATACTGGTATTCTGACTCAAGTCACTGTATGCCATCTAGCCATGAAAGGGTAAGTCTGCGTGCCTGGTAGCTAGTCAATTCTAGATACTGTTCCCAGTGACTTATACTGGGACCTTGCTTACATCGTATACTATGCAAACTTGTACTCCCAAGTACTATGCGTCTTACAGTTGCATATTACTATTTGGTTTTATGCATATGCAGTCCCATTTAATCTTGATATAAATGCACAGTTCTGGATCTGCCACCATTGAAATAATTTTGCTGTTTCATGTAGTATATCATATATGCACATTATAGCATAGTTTAATTCATCTCCTGCATATCTGAAAATGTACTACAGTAGATGAATCTTCTTCAGCAGTCTGGTAACGTTACTGTCAGGAATGAAGAAAACGTGTAAGTCTTGAATTGAAGGTGTTTTAGTTAAGGTTTTGTTCTGTGTGCTTCCCTTCAGGTAACTACATGGTTTCCTATATCACTAGGAATATTGCTTCATTTTAGAAAGAAGAATTTGTTTGAAAGTAGGCCCCCATTTGATATTCGTTGCACGAGGGTTTTTTATTGTACTGAAGCCTTGAGGTAAACACATGACTGAATAACAAAATACATAGACGTGGGGGGTTTTGGTTTTGTTTTTTTAAACTTGACTGAAACAACTCTCAATATGTTAACCCTGGCTCTGAACAATCTCTTTCACTCTTCAGGGCAAGATAATGATATCCATTGCTGGTAATAGACATGATAGGAATTAATGGCTCATTAACATAAAAATTCTAGAGAATATGTAACTGCCTGGAATTGGATCAGCAAACAGCAGATGGGGGAAAAAAAAGATGTGGGGTTTTTTTAAGAGGCAAAGAGAATCAATGGATCTTTCTGTTTGTTTTGGTTTGTTTTTTTGTTTTTTTTTTTAATCTTAAGGCTTTGGGTGTTATGCCTTTAGGAGATGGATTTTAATGTGGCCAGTTAACAGGTTAATACCTTCTTTCAGGTATTCAGCAAACACCTGTTGTGAAGCCCTTCATACAGTGCTCATACCTATTCCAGATCTCAATGGAAGCCACTTAGTTGAAATTTCACTCTTCCATAAGGCTTTGGAAAATTAACTCTTAAGTTTTCCTGCGTTCTGAACTCTTTAAGATTCATACATGATTGTATGTTGGTTTGTGTCTTGGTTTCCACAAGTGACAAAACCATGTTTGTTTTCTTCTGACTCCCCACAGGATAGATCTATCCATGGAAACCTCTGTACTAGATGGAGATAATTTCATCTTTTGTTTTCTTTCGGCCTTTGTCTTGCTGCGTAATACTTTTCTCCTGTTGTGAGTATGGAAAAGATGGGTATTTTCAAATTAGTCCTGTCAGTCCACATTGAGCTCAGCGTAGAGCAGAATTATTTTTTTTTAATATCTTTCTAAACTTTCATGAAAAGCTATTATAGATGAGTGCTTTAACTCTGTCCACTTGCATTGTGTGATACTCTCTTGCCAGAAGAACATTCCAGTTAAGTCCTGTTGCTCTAGCTTCCAGGTGGATCCCAACCTATTTTGTTTCTCTTGGATTTCTTTAAAGGTGGTATCTATGTGTACATATGTAAGGACTTAGCTGCTCCCTAAACCAAATACTGAATTACAGAAAAATGCTTGAAAACCCCACTGATCAGATTATGTTCATTGGTAAAAATGGCTGCTACTTAATTTTTTTTTTAAAACATCTTCCCATTTCATCTCCCTGTGAAATCTTTTAAAATGTTCTGATTAAAACAAACAAAACCCTAGAAAATGTGTATGTGACACCACTGATGACACCTAGACTTCTGTGCCACTTGCACTGTATGATACTTGTGATGAATTCTGGGGATCTCTCTGGGGATTGAGCATTTGTGAAATGATTTCAGCATTGGGAGGAGGTGATGATTATTTCTTGAGGTAATTCCATGTAGGCTGAATGGTCCTACAGCCGCTTTCCTGGGACATTTGGTGTGTTTCCAAGTGGTGGTCTCAATTTTCCCAGTCAGCTGTGTAGTTCATCACCAGGCGTTCCTTACCCCCATGTTCACAACCCCTTTGGGAACTGAAGAACTCTTTGAGAAGCCTAGATGAGTAACGAGGTGAAAGACGAAGACTTGTGACATGGGTCCATGCTCTTGGTGGTTTGGCAAGTGGTGGTAAAGCTTTGTCTGGACTTGGGCGAGGCGGACACAAGAGATGCCTTACGGTTGGATTCAACTTCAGATCGTTTCTCTGGTAATGCACACACCACCGTACAGCCTGGGAGTGTAGATAAACAGACACTGCTTTAAAGATCTCTCTCAATTACAAAACTCTCCATCCACAAAATGGAGCAGGATAGATTGCGTTTCTTACCGTCAACAATGTTATTCAAATATTATTCGACTTACATTGGATTTGGGGTTATACCACCACAGGTTTTATGTGCTTAATTTTATTAAGGAATTTTATACCTATTATATAGGCATCTATTCTTTTCTTGTCTGGCTTGCTATTTGATAATCTAATGCAGCACATTCAGTGGCGCTGGACTCTTTCAGACATTATACTGGTAATTACTGGTGCCTTAGTAAAAAAGTGGGTACGTAACACCTTGGTGGAAAGTAAAGCATGTGGCTTGTTTCACCCCAGCATGATATGTGTATTTCCAAAAAGGTGATTGAGATGGCTGCCCCAAAAGATTTTGGCAGTATACATACAGCACTCGGTCACAAACATCTGAATATGAGCAGCTTTTTATGACTTCTGGTATGTACAGTTTGAATAGATAATCCCAGTACACCTAGTCCACAACTGTGAAAGACGGCGATCAAATAGCGGGATGTGTTAACTTGTTACGCAGACGCCCCCAAAAGCTTGACAAGAAGCTGCTGGTTAGGAAATGGGAGGGAGAGGGGAGCAGAGCATAAATGAGAGGGTTGGCTTTTGTTTTTAATGGACAATGAATATAAATACTGCCTCTACCAGCAAACGGATACCTTGCCAGGGATAGGGATATATGTACCTGGGTGTCTGTGAGTGTGTATGTGTCTGCGTGTGTTACTGGAAACAGCCTGTAAATATTGTAGCTGTTTAAAATGGAAAAGGCAGAGTTTTTTGCAACATGTTGCAGTAAAAGGACAGTATTGACAGTGGAGAAACACTGAGAAATAAAAAAACCCCCTTTTTTCACTTGTTGTCATTTATTGCACTGTTACATTCTCTTAAGATGTCAGTCTCACATATTCCCTGTAACAACTATTTTAAGTTTACTCAAATCACCCTTTAGTGACAGATTCTCTTATTTTGAAATTGCTTCTCTTAATGCAGCTGTCGTAGTAGGAAGGAGAACCGCCCCTATTATTTTACTGCCAGCATCACACCTGTTTTCATGCTTTTACATAAATGAGTGCCATGTGCCCTCTCTTCCACATTTAAAATGTTTTTCTCTAATCTTTGAAGCATTTTCTGTATTTACAGTAGATATTTACAATAGATTTCCCTTCTCTCCGTTTGAAAAGCCCAGAACACTATTATACTGTATTTCTGCTCAGTAATTTTCCGTTCTTGATGCTTCCCAGGGAAATACTTTACCTAGTGTGGTTTAATCAGTGATTTCTAACTTTCTGCCGTCCTTGATCTGGTAGCCAAGTGCAGCATTGTGTAAAGTCGTGATGAACGCTATGCTTACATCAAGCACTTGTTGATACTGTGATACAAATTTAAAAATACTCAGCTGCTGGCTGTAGACTGTCTCAAATTTCTTCACGCTACTACAGAGAATTACAACATCATCTTGTAATTTTGTGAAGTGAATTTTTCAAACATAAAAATAACAGTGATTTATTCATCGGACAGCTCTGGGTGTTTCAAACTAAAGATTGGATGTTTG